AGGGAAGTGAAACAGCAAAATTAACATCAGTGCAGACTTTTTTTTGGTTTTTAAACCTTAACACTTTTAAATCTCAAAACAAAAAGGAAATATTTTGTCATTACATATGCTTAACTTCCATAAGCTAAAACTTGAACTCGAGATGTAATTAAACCACATTTTATTACAAATGAAGAATATAAAGAAACATTAATTTAAAATTTGTACATATTCTAATAATATCTATAAACATTTGGAAAATATATAATTTCATGTACATCTTATTCAAAATGTTTTAGAACATTTCATATATATATAAATCATTTTTTCACAAAGTTTGTGGGAAGGTAAAAATAACATTTAGTTCAGTTTTTTGATTTTATTAAGAAAGATATTTTGCTGAATGATTTTGTATCAGTCATAATTGGATTCACTTTCACTTGGATTATTATTATCGTCATCATCATCTTTATTATTATTTTGAGTCAGAGTCTCACTCTGTTGCCCAGGAGGAGTGCAGGGGTACACTCATGGGCACCACAGCCTTGACCTGCTGGACTCAGGTGACCCTTCTGCCTCAGCCTTCCAAGTAGTTGGGACTACCATCCAAGCACACATCACCATATCCAGTTAATTTTTAAAATTTTATTGTAGAGACAAGGTCTCGTCATGTTGCTCAGGCTGGTCTTGAACTCCTGGACTCAAGCAATCCTCCAGGCTCAGCCTCCCAAAGTGCTGGGATTACAGGCATGAGCCACCATGACCAGCTGTCCTCACTTGTATTATTTGAGATGAGCAAATGTAACACAAATGGAGAAAAGATAAAGCAGATAAGAAAACTGGCACTCAATGATCCTTACCTCTCCAGTAATGACTATCATAATTAAAACATTGAATCAGAGAGAAATACCTTTTATCAAGTGCCTATTATATACCAGGCATGATACGAGGTGATTTCCATGAATTTGCTTTAATACCTTAAAAAATAGCTGTTAATTTAATTTCATGCTGCTAAATTTAAAGGATCTTATGAATATCCTATAAGCCAAATTTATAATAATAAAAATAATTAACCACTGACTTAAGAAAAACATTTTAAGACCAAAAAAAAAAAAAACTGAAACGGTTTTCTTCACAGAAAAAGGAAATGTTTTCCATTTATCCTGTGTGAGCACAACTTTGTGATCCTTAGTAACACATGTACAGATAGTCATACAATCAACCTTAAGGTCTGCGATAACAAAATCCTAACATATATACATAACACATAAACTACTAGTTAAGACTAATATAGTCTGAATACAAGGATCCAGCATTTTGTTCTTTCTTACAATATTTTCCTGTTTGGGAAAACACTTTTAGTGTTATATCCACAATAGCATTTTTTTTTTTTTGAGTTGTAGTCTCACTGTCATCCAGGCTGGAGTGCAGTGGTATGTTCGACAAGCTAGGCTCAGGCAATCCTTCTGCCTCAGCCTCCCAAGTAGCTGGAACTACAGGTACATGCCACTACACCTGGCTAAGTTTTTTATTTATTGTAGAGATGAGATCTCGCAAGTTGCCCAGGCTGGTCTCTAACTCTGGGCTCAGGCAATCCTCTCACCTCAGTCTCCCGAAGTGCTGGGGTCACAGGCATGAGCTACTGTATTCAGCTAGCATGTTGTTTTAATGCATATGCTCACCAGTGATATGAGTTTTTCAAACATTTCACTGTTTCTCCACATCCTTCAACTTTCTCAGTTTTCTTCCTGGGCATCTGTGTCAATGCCAGTTCATTTTCCAATCCAGGGTACACTTTGATCCTTTGTTCCAGGAGTCTTTGACATGGGCAGAAAGGACCAAGGGCAAAACTTTGTAGCAGGTGACACTTAAATGTCTGAAACTTCAATTCACTAGAGCAGAGAGTAACCACAGCCTCAGACTGGATGTGACAAAAAAATGTCATTAACTTCCTCTCCAAGAAGCATCCTGGGAAAACCAACGGAAATCTCAATACTCAGAAAGAAAAACATTAAAAGAATTTGTACAATTTTCAAACACTATCTTTTCGGAAGATACTTTTTCTACAAACTTGTGTTCATAGCTTATATATCTGATATACAATTCAAGTGAAACAGCAATCAACAGAGAAAACACTTATTTGACCTGAGATATCAACCCATAGATCTTCCATAGACGATTCGTTCTCAAAAATGTAGAACTCCCTGGATTGCACTCGACACTGAGCTGTGATAAAGGGGCTGTAACAGTATTGTAGGGCCTTAAGCTTTCTCAGGTTGTCATGTGAACATCAGGCCTACATCAACAGGACAGGGAGAAATGTTGAGTCAGTTTAACAGCATTCTGAATAATAGAGTTTACTGTTATCACCCTGGGTAGTGTTGAGCTAGCTTAGAAACAGAAATCCAAACTAACACCATTGATGTGAAGGCAAAAAGAAAAATTCAGTCAATCTGAAAGATTTATTTTTTTAATGGCAACTTTTGGGTTAGAATTTTTGTTTTGCTTTGAGAAAAATAAGTTTAGAAATAAGATAGCCAATTTCTTTTTGATAAGAATCAATAAATGAGGACTGGGTACGGTGGTTCACACCTATAATCCCGGCACTTTGGGAGGCCAAGGTGAGAGAATTGCCTGAGCCCATGGGTAGTAAGACCTCATCTCTACAACAAATTTTTAAAAATTAGGTGGGCATGGTGGCACATGTCTGAAGTTCTAGCTGCTTGGAAGGTTGAGGCTGAAGGATCACCTGAGCCCAGCAGGTCGAGGCTGTGGTGGCTGTGAGAACGCCACTGCACTCCAGGCTGGGTGACGGTGAGAACTCCAACTCAAAAAAAAAAAAAAAGAATAAGTGGTAAGAAACCTGTCCGTGACATTAAGGACTACCAAAGATATTATTTCTGACATGCATTGGAAATAAGAAAAATGTTATAAAAGTTTTTTTTTTTTTCCTGAGTCAGGGTCTCACTGTGTCACCCAGGCTGGAGTGCAGTGGGACGATCATGGTTCACTGAGCCTCAAACTCCTGTGCTCAAGCAGTCCTTCCACCTCAGCCTTCCGAGTGGCTGGTACTACAAGTGTGCGTCACCACACCCAATTAATCATTTGAATTTTTGTATAGATGGGGGGTCTTGCTATGTTACCCAGGCTGGTCTCGAACTCCTGGACTCAAGCAATTCTCCCACCTTGGCCTCACCAAAGTGCTGGGATTACAGATATGAGCCACCAAACCTGACTGGTTTTATTTCCTTCAGTGGTTTCTGAGACCTTAATATTGTACCTTCCAGGAAAATCAATAAATGGTAGGAAATCTGTCCATTACATTAAAGGCCACCAAAGATGTGATCCTGCCAAGCATTGGAAATAAGAAAAATGTTATGAAAGTTTTTTGTAGTTAAGTCTCTACCCTATGTTCCCAAAGCACTTATCAATAAAACTGTATGAAAAACATGGTCAAGATGAAATTTAACAGAAAAAGACAATCTATCACTCATTGTGGTAGGATATAGCTATTTTTCAAATTTTAGTAACTATTTATAATTTCCTTAATAAGGGTGAAAGTAACACATTTCAAGAAAATCATTATGATAATTTGTTCATATTTTTTCACAAAGATTTTGCTAGTTGTTTCCAAACAGTCTGTGGAAAACCCACCCTACAGGGATAAAACATTTGAGAAAAATTGAAGTGTAAAATATAATTTTGAAATAATGTAGCAATTATCTTATAAAAATCCCTATATCAACCAGAAAAATAACTCAGGATGCTAGTAGAAGAAAGGAAGAAAAGTCAACCCAAGTAATTCCAAAGTGGGATTCACCTGGACTTTTCCAGAAATTTCATCCAGGCCTGAGCTAAAGGAACCTGTGAACACAGTCATGTGTGGGTATTTGTGTTTTTGTAAAAAGAAAAACATTTGTGTTTCCTTCCCCTGAGATCGAAAGGGTTGTTCTCCTTCCTCTATCTTCCTGCCTTAAGCTGGTACTAAACTCCTGTGACACGTCCATAAATTATAATTCAGAAGCTCTTCGTTGGTGGGTGTGTCCTGTGTATTCTCGCCCACTAAGGAACAGGTTTCCAAAGCAGGTCTGGGTTTTTTTCTCTCTCTCAAATACGTTAACCATTAGCTATCTCGTTCAAAAAGAAGGAAGTTGCAGACGGGAGAACAAAGCACCAGTGATTGCATTGCTCAGTTTTAATAACTTGAAATCATGACTCATGAGAGCCTGTGACTGATATTCAACTTATCAGAACATAGTTAACTTTATCTATATTTATGAATTGCCATGAGTCTAAGAATAGCCACCAAAGAAAGGTAGAGCCACCTGGTAGAGTCAAATATATTGTGACCAAAAGAAAGATGATTCTGGGACACATGTAACTCTTTGACTTCTTTTATGCTTAGGGAATATTTGTAAGTTTGAGGAATGAAAAGCAGCAGAAGTCTTCTGAAGGAGGATCTAATGATTTAAATCTCTTTCTTTTCTTTTCTCCTTCCTTCCTTCCTTCCTTCCTTCCTTCCTTCCTTCCTTCCTTCCTTCCTTCCTTCCTTCCTTCCTTTCTTCCTTCCTTTCGAGGCAGGGTATCACTCTGTTACCCAGGGTGGAATGCAGTGGCACAGTGGCACGATCATAGCTCACTAAAGCCTCAAGTTTCTGGCCTCAGGTGATCCTGCCTCAGCCTCTTGCATAACTGGGACTACAGGCGTTTACCACCATGCCTGGCTAATTTTATTTTATCTTTTTTATAGCGATGGGGGGGTTCTCACCATATTGCCCAGGCTGGTCTCGAACTCCTGGCCTCAAGAGATCCTTCCTCCTTAGCCTTTCCAATGCACTGGGATTATAGGCGTGAGCTACCTTACCCCACTGATTTTCAAATTTGTCAGCCATTTTTACTTGGCCTCACATCTCAATGATTAGTTAGAACTTTAAGTGTGCTAGCATTCCTAGAAGTCCTTTTAAGGAGCCACCATTCCTTCTCTTCTCCGAGTGTCTTGTGTTGGCTAACATTCAGGTTTTCTAGAGACTTCCATCATCAGTTCTGCTAAACAAGGTAATGTCCTCATTGCATCCTGGGGCCGAGTATTCCATGTTCTCCAGTAAAACATAACTGCTCTCACTGTCATTCAGGGAGAGGGCTTCTTTCTTCGTGGATGTCAGCTGACTCCAGGCCACGTCAGTATTTTTGAAAGCATGTAGGAGGAAGATGCCATTGATGACGGTGAGGAACCCACTTAGGGTCCCGATGACATCTCCAGCCCTCATGCCGTTCCATTCTTGGAACAAGATGGCGGAGCATGTCACCACCATGGACGTGAAGAACACATAGTAGATGGGCGTCACAAGGGACGTGTTGAAGGTATCCAGGGCCTTGTTGAGATAATTGATCTGGGTGGTCACGGAAAGCACGAGGACTGCCAGTAGAATGAAGACCAGAGGCCGCTCGTACACTGGCTTCCATTCCAGCAGCTCCTTAATGGCAATGCCCAGGCCCTTGACAGATGACACGGAGAATGCCCCAATCAAAGAACAGATTGAAATGTAGACCAGGATGTTGGTCTGTCCCTTCTTGGGAGCCACAACCACGATCAGCACCAAGGAGATCACAGTTATGATCACAGCAAAGGAAATAAATCCTGTGGGGGAAAAGAAAAGAGATTGACTTCAGAAAATGCTTCTGAGACTGTGGCTTTCTGAGTTTAAGGACACAGGCATTTTAGAAATAGAAGCGAGATTAAATTAAATGCAAGAACATTCCATTGCACAGTTCTCAGTATTTTACAAAGGACTTTCACAAACATCTTACTTGAATCTCACCAACAACACTAGGTAGGGCAAGCCTCGTCAGACTAATTTTTTATTTTTGGAGGAAGGAAGTGGGCAAGGTTTGGGTTTAAATACAAGACTTCTGTCTCTACCAACCCCTTCTTTCCCATTCATCGTGTAGAGGGGAAGCATGAAAGTAAAAATGTGTTCTGCCATCTTTTTGGGAGACTTGTACTCAGGCAAAGCTTTCTGTGTCTCATAATCCACAACTAGCCTTGTAGGAAGCCTGTTACAATATTGCCACAAATACCATTTGGTGAGGAGAGAGAGTGGAGCAGAATTTGAGGGTTTTTTTTTTTTTTAAAGGTTAAATCACAGACCTGGGTCTCTCAATTTCATTTCCATCTCAAGCAGAGAAGCAACTTCCTCTTCCTGTGGGGCATGGATCACCATCACAGTGGACCCCAATATACTGAGGATACAGCCTATTTTCCCATGAATGTTCAAGTGCTCGTTCAAAAAATAAGAAGACAATATTGCGCTGTTGAAAGAGAAAAAGAATCACTGTGGTTCAATTGCCCCTTGACTTCATGACAGCTCAGAAGTCCACGGTGGAACATGCCACCTTGCATCTCAGTGAGCTGAAGCGGTATGCCACGTGACACTGAAAAACACAGATTCGTTTGAAATTCAGAATTGATGGACAATCAAATCTACTTCATTGCTTTTACAAGGGGAGCCCCAAAATACTCAGAATTTATTTATAAAAAATTGTGTATTGATTCTTATATGTTTAAACTTCAGTCACCTTCCAAGCACTCTCTGTTTGATGCAATACACCTATCGAGATGCTTTTTCCCTGCTCAAAACAGTTTTGAACTTGTCAATTTTGATGCAAAAACACTGTTCCTGCTAGGGATCATTGCAGACAATTGTTCCAGGGGCCTTAAGTGTAGTAACTAATCTAATTCTCACAACAGTCCCATAAAAAAGATGATAAGAAGCCGGTGGATGAAATGATAAGCTTTCTCCTAGAGGTTGATGATGAGTGGGAAAGAAAAAGACAAAAAACACAACAAAGCAGTGGCTTGGCTCAAGCATGAGAGAATTCAGGGCTTATTGAAAGCAATAATTTGGGATCATAATCAAGAACAATGCAGAAAAGTTAGATCCACATTATGTGAAATAGGAAAATTATTTCTGCTTCCAGTACTAAAAGCAACTATGGGCACAGTGGCTCATATAATCCCAGCACTTTGGGAGGCTGAGGTGGGAGGATCGCTTGAGGCCAGGAGGTAGAGACCAGCCTGGGCAACACAGTGCGACCCTGTCTCTACAAAAATAAAAATAAAAAAATTAGCTGGGCGTGATAGTGTGCCTCTAGTTCTAGCTACTTGAGAGGCTAAGGCAGGAGGATCGCTTGAGCCCAGGAGGTTGAAGCTGCAGAGATTACACCACTGTACTCCAACCCAAGGGCCAGAGGGAGAGCTCACTGGAAGGAAGGAAGGAAGGAAGGAAGGAAGGAAGGAAGGAAGGAAGGAAGGAAGGAAGGAAGGAGGGAGGGAGGGAGGGAAAGAAAAAGAAAGAGAGAGAGAAAGAAAAAACTTGGGGTGGGGGTGTCTCCAAACAGAGTATCCATCAGACAATGAAAGAATTTTAGTGAGAGTTGAAATTTAACCTACTTTTTAAAGTCCTCTGATAACAATGGTCGTCAACCACCATGGCAACAGAAAGAATTAGCAGGATATTGGCAATTTCTTCAGGTGAGAGATAAAAAAATCTGCTAGTTTTCACTGATTTTACATTAGCAAGAGGCCAAGCCTGCTCCGTCACAGGTCTTCTAAATAATGACCATGACGACATCTTTCCTATTTTTTCTCTTTTTTTTCTTTTTCTTTCTTTCTTTCTTTCTTTTTTTTTGAGTTGGAGTCTCACTCTGTTGCCCAGGCTGGAGTTCAGTGGCATGCTCATGGCCACCGCAACCTCGACCTACTGGACTCAAGTAATCTTTCCATCTCAGCCTTCCAAGTAGCTGGAATTACAGGCATGCGCCACCGTGCCCCGCTAATTTTTTGATTTATTATAGAGATGAGGTCTCACCAAGTTGCCCAGGCTGGTCTTGAACCCGTGGGCTCAGGCAATCCTCTCACTTCGGCCTCTCAAAGTGCTGGGATTATAAGCATGAGCCACCATGCACAGCCTTCCTATTTCTAAATGCTTATTTATTTTGTAGTCTTCTCAAATTATTTTTGTAAGTTTTTTTAGGCAAGAGCAAATATTTATCATTCCCATTTAACAAATGAGTGGACTAAGGTTAGGTGACTTGTCCAAAGCTTCTCCAGGGTCAACGAAAGAATTTCAGGTCTTCCAAAATTTTAGAGACCGGGTTGGTGTAGACTCTCTGTGTTTTTGTTTTCCAGATATTCTTAGCAACATGTCTCTTATGGGAAAAGCTTATCTTGGTCCTAAAACACTGACAGAAGCCAAACTCCCCGCCACTCACATACCTTACAAGGACACTCAGCGCGCCCAGCGGCGTGACCAAGGTGGCAGGTGCAAAGGCATAGGCAGCAAAATTGGCAGCCTCTCCTGCTCCCACTGGAAAGCAAGTGGAAGGAATGATGTCAAAGATAGACTCATCTGTCGGAGAGCAAAGCAAGTGACTCTCGCCAGGCAGTAGATTCTCATCCCCAACCATAGAAAGACCTAGTTAAGATCTGGGACTTGTGGGCCTTGTTTCACAAAGGATGGGAGACAATTGATGCCAAGGCAATGCAGATACACTGTTGTTCCTGATGGCACAAATTAAACAAATGCAAAAAACCAGTGACAGGTGAAAACGCGTGTTAAGTGATTTTTAATAGGACTTTCGTTACTTCAATACTGAAGATGTGTTGGGTCCCTCTGATGGCATCTAGCAGAGGTAGCTGCATGGTGAGTGGATAATTATTCTATTTGAACAAGGATAACTGCTGTTTTGCAAATGAACAACAATGAATACCAACTTGGACAATGAGAAGGCTTCAAAGGTTGGAGATAGCCAGACAGGCTCACTACTGCAGGCCCATGAAGTCAGGCACTGCCAAGCGCAGATCTCTATCTACAAGCCAGTGATGATATCTCCGTAGCTTATGGATCAAGCAGCTGCCTGGAAGTCATAATGATGTGCTCCCGATTGTAATCTTGTTCTCATCTGAGCAGCTTTCAACTTGCACAAGATAGTGTGAGGCCAAAAACTTCTAGGCGAGGGAAACCCCTTCAGGAGTTCAGCACTGCAGCCAAATCACCCTCACAGCTCTCAGCTGGATGGTTGCCCACACACTAGTGTTTTCTTGCTGGCCAAGTAAGTGCTCATTACAGAGATCAAGCAACACTGGCATACTTTTTCTTTTTCCCTTTCTCTGGTTGTTACACATTATCTCCCAAATCCCCAGGAGCTCCCAGCCCTAGGAAAACATCATAAAGCAAATCTAAACTTACAGAACAGGATAATTAAGAGCCTGCTCTCATAAAAAGAGCCATGCAGTTTTTTTTTTTTAAAGAAAAGTACGTTTTCCTTGAATACTTTATATTATTTATAGTTTTATCTTATGAGTAGCTTTTCAGGAAAACATGGTCTTCATGATTCAAATACTGTGTGATTTTCATTTACCTAATCTCTCATGTACAAGGGAGGAACCTAAAAAAAACCCAGGATTTATTTATAAAAAATTGTGTATTGGCTCTTACATGTTTAAACTTCAATCACCTTCAAAGCACTCTCTGTTTGATGCAATACACCTATCAAGATGCTTTTCCCACTGCTCAAAATGGTTTGGGGAACTTGTCAATTTTGATGCCTTTTAGTGCTTCTGCCATTTTTTCCCCTCACCTCTTCCATATTAGCATAATTTTTCCCTTTGAGGACTTCTTTCATCAGGGGAAACAAACAAACAAAAGAGTTGCTCAGGGAGAAACCAGGTGAACAGGGAGGGAGGGGCATGGATATCATGTCGTTTTGGGTCAAAAACTGAACACTCAGCATGGTGTGGGCAGGTGCACTTGTAAATCACCCATCATGAAATAGGCAAACACGTTGAAAGAATCTTAAAAAAAAAAGTCACTGAAGCTGAATGCAACCTCTAACATCAATGCTAGCTGGTACCCTGATGCTGATGGGTTCCTAGAACACTTTCCTAGTGGGGGAAGCCTGTACTCCAAGGGACCCACCCTCCGAAAGATATTCTGTTTTCTTGGGGTCCCTTTCGTATGAACTCTCCCTTCAATACCGGCATATACTCTTTTACACAGTGAATACGACACTGCAAAAGTAGACATGTAATATTCTCCTGATATTGTCACCTAAAGTGTGAGTACATGGTGAAAAGATGCAAGAGAGAAAGACAGAATCATCCATGTATCTATCTGGAATCTTCCCAGTACAGTCTTCGTCAACTTTTATTCAAATAAAGTAAGAAGACATACGTTAAAAACTGAAAGGGCTGTACACAATTAAATTATTTTCATTCATTGTCCTTTTAGATTCCAATATTTATTTTTTAAAAAGGTACCCAATTTCTTCCTCCAACATGATCTCACAGATACTAAAATGTGTTACTTGGTTTGGCTGCAGAGCAAAATGACTTTCAAGTTATGTGAAATGACAATTTTTTTCTTTTTTGAGTCAGTCTCACTCTGTCACCCAGGCTGGAGTGCAGTGGCAGGAACACGGCTCACTGAAGCCTGACCTCCTGGGCTCAGATGATCCTTCCCCCTCAGCCTCCTGAGTAGCTAGGGCTACAGGTGTGCCACCACACCCAGTTAATTTTTGTTATTATTATTATTATTGTAGAGACAAGGTCTCACTTTGTTGCCCAGGCTGGTCTCCAAATCCTGGGCTCAAGCAATCCTACCTTCTTGGCATCCCAAATTTCTGGGATTATAAGTATGAGCCACTGTACCTGGCTGAAACTATAATTTTTGACAACCTTTTTGGGGAAGCTTCAGTGTTGAGATTTAAGAAAGTTTGGAGGTGTTAAGACAAAGAGAGGAATCAGCAAGAATGTCTGAGGGACATGACACCACTTTCTATCTAAACATCACGTTAGCAGTTAGGAAGGGTTTCATATCCTACAAAGTCTCATTGGACTCTCAAAGCAGGTCTGGGGCAAGGAGGGTGTGACACCCTCATTTTCTCTCCATTTGTTCAATGTCAAGCAGCCAAAGAGTCCTTTAATGAACCCGGCTCTGGTCCTGCCAAGAAAAATGTTCCTGTTCTGGAGAAAATATGCTGCTAAACCATCACAGATTCAAAGGAGGGGCTGAAAAAATATGGGAGAAATGCTCTTTTTTCGATCATTGTGGAAAAGAAACCCAGGAGGAGAAGTCGGTGACAAAATGTAATATTTCAAAGGGCAACGTCCCCCCTGAATTCCAGGACAGGGTTGAGAGCTAGGGTGGGGTGGGGGGCTGTGAGGGGAGGGAAGAGGAAAAATAAGTTGTTTACGTACATTCTATTATATTTTAGACATGCCTCCTACACAGAAAATTTATTAGATTTAAATTCTGTCCATGACAGGAAGATATAAATTAACCAACATAGAAAGATTTCATGTAATCTATTTGTCATTTTACAAGCAAACGCTCCTCCTAGTATTGGGAACTCACTTGACAGCAGTCCTGCCCACCACAGCCATTCCTTCAGGTAAGAGTGTCCACCTTGTCCTGGGAAAACATCAAAAGTAAAAATCAGGTTCTAAACTGGAGGAGGAAGGTTTGGAGAACTCACTTCTCAAAGAGGCATTGAATTATGGTTGCAAAAGTCAAGTCAGTAAATCTAAAGTCATCTGGCTTATTTACTTGGTTATTTCCCTTTTTTTTTGAGTTGGAGTCTCACTCTGTTGCCCAGGCTGGAGTGCAGTGCCATGCTCACAGCCACCTCAGCCTCAACCTGCTGGGCTCAGGTGATCCCTTCGCCTCAGCCTTCCAAGTGGCTGGAACTACAACCATACACCACCACGCCTGACTAATTTTTGGTTTATTGTAGAGATGAGGTCTCGCCAAGTTGCCCTGGCTGGTCTCAAACCCGTGGACTCAGACAATTCTCTCACCTCGGCCTCCCAAAGTGCTAGGATTATAGGCGTGGGCCACTGTGCCCGGCCTACTTGGTCATTTCCAAGGATCTTCTAGAAGAGCTTCAGAGCTTTCTATTCTGTCACTATGTCACCTTTGATTTCTATGGAAAATCAAGCTTGTTTTTTTTCAATTTGTAGTGAATTATATTTAATCATTAAGTTCACTGTATTTGTGTCAGAGGATGGACATAGAATATCTTAAAGCCTGAAAACTTTGTTTCAGCTGTGACTAAAATTAAAGACAGAAAACCATACATCATAAATGATATCAACATACCCAGTAAATCATAAAGGAAAGCAGGTTCACATAAGAGCTTTGAGACTTAGACTCTCGATGAGGTGGAGGGTAACCGGCATGAGGCAGGTGGACTCTAATTCTCTACCTCGGCATGAGTTTCTGTCTCATCTACTGAAAAGAGTGAAAAGCTCTCCTAAGGTGTTCAAAGAGTTAAATTCCCTGAACTGGAATCTGTAACCTATGCCATTGAGTTTTCTCATCAATTTTAAAACACTTGGCTGGGTGCAATTGTTCACACCTGTAATCCCAGTGATTCAAGAGGCCCAGCTGAGAGGATCTCTTGAGGCCAGCAGTTTGAGACCAGTCTGTGCAACATAGTAAGACCCAGTTTCTATTAAATACATAAATAAATAAATAAGCTGGGTATGGTGATTATGCCACTGCAGTTCGGCCTGGATGATAGTGACCCTGCTAAAAAAACAAATTATATACATGTAATTTTTATATTAATATACTATTAATAGTATATAATTTTTATATTATATACTATTAATATAGTATATAAATATACTCAATTATATAATTGAGTATATTATATAAAAATTAATATAATTATATATATATAGCCTAATGTTATTGTCATCCATCTATTGATTGAACAAATATTATCAGGTGCCAAACATTGGGCTGGGAAGGTTCCTGTTCTTGGGAATTTGCTATCGATAACCAAGTAAACTTGTTGTTGCTGAACAATAAACAACTAGGCACAGTGGCTCATGCCTATAATCCCAGTCCTTTGGGAGACTGAGGTAAGAGGATTGCCTGAGCCTGGGCAAAATGGTGGTACCTCATCTCTACAAAAGTAAAAAAATTAGCCAGGTGTGCTGGATCAGTTGAGAGTAGGCTGCGGTGAGCCGTGATGGTGCCACTGTACTCTAGACTGGGTGACAGAGTAAGACTCCAACTCAAAAAGAAAAAAAAAAACTCAGTAGATGTACAGCTACACGTTATTCCAGGTTCAATGAAGGAAATGGTTAGGGCAATGGCAGAGAATAACAGGGGTGGCCATGGGCCCTGCCCAGAGGATGATCAGCGAGTCTCCTGTGTGCTGGTGATGTTCAAGTTGGAGTCTGAGGATGAGTGGTGAATGAAGGGTGGGGAGAAGGCTTCCAGACAATGGGGAGGGACTCGGGTTGTTTGTCAGGCACAACTCTCCCAAATCGAGTCTGTCCCTTTGCTGTCAATTGTCAACCCAGAAGAAGGCTTCTGGGACTGAATGTGGGGGTTCTCCCAGGCAGCAGACATCAGCAGGGTGCCCTCCAATTCAGTTCTAACACTATCTACCTTGACACAGTGTCGGACCCCGCAGGGTGAGGGCCCAGTTCCACAAGACTGCCCCACCCCCCAGACACTAGTCACAAGTCTGGCCCTTCAGAATTTCTGACCCACTGGCTTCAAGTTGGGGTTCACACCACTCCCTCTTTGGGTTCAATTAATTTGTGGGAGTGGCTCACAGAACCCAGGGAAACATATGTACTGGTTCATTATAGAGGATACTGCAAAGGATACAGATGAAGAGACACAGAGGATGAGGTATGGGGGCATCTTCCACGCCCTCCCTGGGCTCCCACCTCCAACAACCTTCACATGCTCAACTACCTGGAAGTTACCCAAACCCAGTTCTCCTGTTTTTTTTTTATGGAAGCTTCATGATGTCAGTTTCTTCCCCCTGTTTATAGGGCAGGACCTTTTCTGGGGAGGGTCTTAAGACCCCCTGTCAGGAACAGGGAAGATCAGAGTCTTGGGGCCGGTGAAAGGAGGACAGAGAAGGTCAGAGAGACACTACAAGGAATGCCAAAAAATTGTCTACACATTTAAAGCATGACATTCACTAAAAAGATGGCATTCATCAAATGAATACTAGTGTCGCCATGCGACAGATGGGAGAATCACGGTTGAGCGAACGCCATATTACACGCTGCTACCGTCGTTCCACTCACCTTCGAAAAGTGATACATAGAGAACATCTCTTAAAATGTGTAGACATGTTTTTGGCACTCCCTGTATTTCCCAGCCTGCCCTGAGGCCTGACACACCCAAGGTTAGAACAAAGCCTATGACCAGGGCCGTGGGAGTTGTGAACCAATGGGTGTCGGACCCCACATATTGCCACAGGGTGGATGAGTACAGGCTTACTAGAGGAATGAGAGAGAGGAGGTGATGGGAAAGCACTGGTGGAAGCGGAAGAGGTCGAAGGGGCTGTTTTTTGCAGGAGGTCAGAGGTCGAGACATGCCTCTGCTCTCTCAAGGACATGGAGGCTAGGAGAGAGATAGGAAGACATGGCTTCTGAATCAGTACTTGTATGTCTCCCTCCCTCCCTTCTTCCTTCCTTCCTTCCTTCCTTCCTTCCTTTCACCTCACTCTGTTGCTCAGGTTGGAGTGCAGTGGCACAATCATGGCTCACTACAGCCTCAACCTCCTGGGTTCAGGTGATCCTCCCACCTCAGCCTCCCAAATAGCTGGGACTATGAGTGTGACCACCACACCTGGATGATCTTTTGTTTTATTTTGAGTAGAGATAAGATCTCACTATGTTGCCCAGACTGATCTGGAACTCCTGGTCTCAAGCAGTCCTCTAGTCTTGGCCTCCCAAAGTGCTGGGATGACAGGCATGAGCCACTGTACCCAGCCTCCAGTTGTGTGTATTTCTTACCAGCTCTCGTACTGCCCTTGCTGGCTAGTTGCAAGAGGCCCTTCTTTTTCAGTATGAAGCTGCAGCCAATAAAAAAACTGGAGCCGACTGCCAAGACCAGGCCCATGTAGAGGCTGTATTTGTTTTCCACATTCTGTACATTTGCTGTAATGCTTAAGTTGGTTGTGCTGGAATTCAGGTCCGTGAAGAGGACAGGTGAAGCCAGCAGCTGCGACACATTTGTAATCTCACACCAAGCCTGGGAGGAGTTCTGGCAGACCAGAGATAGTATGTAGCCTGGAAGAAAGGAAAGAGGGAAATGTTGGGTCAAAGGAAAAGGTAGGGATGCCTATTCCCTTTTTGCCAGAAACAGAGCCCTGAGTGGATGGTACTGAAACACGCATTTTTGTTTTCTTCTTTGAGTTGGGACCTCACTCTGTTGCCCAGGCTGGAGTGCAGTGGTATGATCACAACTCACTGCAGCCTCAAACTTCTGGGCTCAGGTGATCCTCCAACCTCAGCGTCCTAAGTAGCTGGGACTACAGGCACATACCACTACACCCAATGGTTTTGTTTTTGATAGAGAAGAGGTCGCTATGTTGTCCAGACTGATCTCGAATTCCTGAGCTCAAGCAATCCTCTTGCCTCAGCTTCCTTAAGTGATGGGATTACAGGCGTGAGCCACCATGCTCAGCTTTTAAAAATGATTTTTAAAGTGGCATTTGTCATCATTTTAAAATGAGAAATTTCACATGAAAGTCTGGATTCCTCTTATAAATGTGAAACCCAGACTCATTATTAAAAATCTTGAAATTTGGAAGCTGAACACCAAAACACAAATGAAAACATTTTACACTATATAAGCAATTTTTAATAATCTGTTCTCCACTTGAAAAGCTACCAACAAGGTGATATTATGACAAGATGTTGTCTCATCTTTTTTTCCTTAAAAAAAAGCAAATTCTCCCATTATATATGAACCCTAAGCAAAAAAGAATAAAATAAAATTAACCAGATACAATTTTGTAATTCAATGAAAAAAAAAGTCTGTTTTACATTTAAAAAATCTTAAGAAGGGGCCAGGCATGGTGGCTTACACCTGTAATCCCAGTGCTTTTGGAGGCTAAGGCAGGAGAATCAATTGAACTCAGGAGTTCAAGACTATCCCAGGCAACACAGTGAGACCTCTTCTCTACAAAAATTTAGACAGGTATGGTGGTGCGTGTTTGTAGTCCCAGCTCCTTGGGAGGCTGAGGCAGAAGAAATGCTTGAGCCCAGGAGGTCAAGGCTGCAGTGAGCCATGATTGTGCCACTGCACTTCAGCCTGAAACCCCAACACACACACACACACACACACACACACACACACACACGCGTGCACGCTTAAGAAAGCACATGAACAACAAAAGACAGTCTGACTAAATAATGTGTTAGCAACAAGACATCCACAAGTGGATCTATGCATCCTGGCAAAGCATTATAGAATCATCTGGATTTTACATACAAAGTTAAGAAACGACCATGAAGTTAAAGTCTGGAAAATAATAGCATAATTGAATTGAAAGTTTTCATGACATAATTTTGCTTCTCTCTGTCATTTGAAAATGAACCAACTTTGTTTCAGAAATACAGAATTCTGAGTCAAAGCTTCTAAATATTCCAAGGAGAATTGTATTACTTCAGGAATATTGTACAATACTGGGAAATTAACAGGCAGGTGTTTTCGATCACTGCTGTCCCTTTTCAAGCAAACTAGGCCTTAGCAATCTTGTTCCAAGCACTGTGGGCATCTCATCTCAACTCCAAGAATGGAGAGCGACTGCGTGTATTTTTGTTAGTAAGAATTTTGATTACATTCATTCCTGAGAAAATATTTGACCAGACTTTCCAGTGAATTCCATGGCTGCATTCATGTCATTTACTATGTAGTTAGCATAACCATTCCAAAACTCCATCTCTGAAGTCAGTGTGGGCAGGTCTCATTCCGGGAAAACAATATTCCTTCTAAGGAATATTTGTCGATGTGACCAAATATCTCCGACATTTTCGGGGGTGTGGGGGCAGAGGGTGGCCAGGCAGAGCAAATGATCTCGGCTGCATTTTGCAAGTTCTATTGTAAGTGGTGCACATGAATGCTGCAAATTTTATGGCAGGAAAAATAATAAAATCTTGGTGGTTACTGACCTTAGACCTTAAACTGCTTTCTGTTTTGAGAAAATGCTGGGGAGGGCCCTATGGCAGATATGATCGGAGGAAGGAAGGAATGCGGGGTGAGTAGGTGTGGAGTGGCCTGGGGAAGATGGGAGAACTGGGTGAGGGAGGGCATGTAGTTGGGAACTTTGGGAGTGTTTTAGAAGAATCAAGAGGCCTCAGATCAGAATTGGCTTCTCAAGCTCTGAGTAAGAGGCTGGGTGTCGTGGCTCATGCTTGTAATCCCAGCAGTTAAGGAGGCCAAGTTAGGGAGGAATGCTTGAGCCCAGGAATTCAAGACCAGACTGGACGACACACTAATACCTCATCCCTACAAAAAAATCCAAAAATTAGCCAGGTGTGGTGATGTGTGCCTGTACTACCAGCAACTTGAGAGGCTGAGGTGGAAGGATCGCCTGAGTCCAGGAGGTTGAGGCTACAATAAGCTGTGATTGTGCCACTGCACTTCAGCCTGGGCAACACAGTGAGACACCCAACTCAAAAAAAAGAAAAATCCGGGTAATTCTTTAGGGCTCTGGGGAATTTAATCTAGACTTTACTCAACAAAGAAATAATCTATTACAGTCCTTATTTGTTATTTTAATAGACACTCTAAATGGCCCTCTAAAGTGACTGTACCAACTTATACTCTTGCTAGTAGGAAACATGTATTACTTCTTTGATGCTATTGTTTATTTTTCTAAATAATGAGTAATGAATATTTAGAAAATATGTCAGTTATAAAGAAAAATTAATTAAATGCACACCAATGTTACCCCTCAGAGGTAATAACCATCCTGATTTTCTCTTTAACATTCTTTTGCTTTAAAAAATCATTTCCTCTAAGACTCAGTGTGGTGGCTTATGCCTGTAATCCCAGCACTTTGGGAGGCTGAGGCAGGAGGATTGTTTTGAGCTCAGAAGTTTTAGACCAGTCTGGGAAACATAACAAGACCCAAACTCCTGGGCTCAAGAAATCCTCCTGTCTCAATCTCTACCAAAAAAAAAAAAAAAAAAAGCCTGGCATGGTGGCACCAGCCTACAGTCCCAGCTACTCAGGAGGCTGAGAGGGGAGGATCTCCAGAGCCCAGGAGGTCAAAGCTACAGTGAGCCGAGATTGGGCCACTACACTTCAGTCTGGGTGACAGTGAGATACTGTCTCAAATATATATGTGTGTGTGTGTGTGTGTGTGTGTGTGTGTGTGTGTGTGTGTATACATATATTTATATATATTCCTCTATAGGACTATATCTTTAGAAGTTTTTGCACCTCATAGAAATGTAATCATCCAGAATGCATTCCTGCGACTTACTTGCTTTTGAAAGTCATCAATGTTGATGCTTGTGGCTGTAGGATTTGCTTTTGCCTATGGTTTCTAATAGAATTCCACCGCACGACTATCCCACGACTAATTTTTCTATTTTGCAGTTGGTGGACACTTAGGTAATGTACAGTTTTGTTCTTGCAAACATGTGCTGCTCATGTTATCATGCTATGTTGAACGATCTGAAATGGATGAGATTTGAAGATGTCTGATGCTACAAAAACAGTAGTCTTATATCTCAACCTGATACCTCTCTCCCATGTACAGGTGCAATAGCTTACATGAGCACACACACATGCACACCTTTCATACTTAAAAACCAAGTTGGCAGCCATAAAGAACAAAATCATGTGCTTTGTAGCATCATGGATGCAGCTGGAGACTATCATTCCAAGTGAACTATCACAGGAACAAAAACCTGAACATCGCATGGTCTCACTCACGCAAGCACAAAGGTGGGATTGACAAACACTGAGTGCTGCTCATGGGGGGAAGGAGAGAGGGGAATGAGGGATGCACAACCCCCCACTGGATACCACATCCACTGCTAGGGGGAGAGAGAAATAAATATACCATATGGTGAGTGCCATGGCCAGCAGTAAAAGCAGCATCAAGAAACATACTTTATTTCTTTTATGTTATTTTTGAGTCGGGGTCTCACGCTGTTGCCCAGGGTGGAGTACAGTGGCATGCTCACAGTTCATGGCAGCCTCCACCTTTGGGGCTCAGGAGATCCTCCTGCCTCAGGCTCCCAAGTAGCTGGGACTATAGACATGCAACACTACCCTTACCTGCACACAGTTTACTTGTGCAGCAAATCCTCACATGCACTCACAACTCCAAAAATAAACATAAAGCATTGAAAATAAAAAACAAAACCAAAGCTGAATATTGTGTAGAGTCATATAACTCCCACTGCCCTAAGCCCTACTGCTGTCCATAATCATGAGCAAGTGGAGTGATCTCTCCTGGCTGGCTTCCTCATCTGTCAAGTGCAGGAGTCTGACTCTATGGTTCTCAGTCTTGATCATGATCCTCCTTAGTTCTCAGAGTTGCTCATGGTCCTGGTGGCCATGCATGTTGCTGACAGGCCAGTTCTAAACTCATGGGTGCTGAGAGCTGGAAGATGGTTTAAGGAAACTGATGGCAAGGTATTAGGTGACACTGGTCAAAGTTATGTCACTGCCAAAACCAGGGCCAAGTAGCCCATTCCTAGGCCAGGAGTCTTTCTCTTCCAGAAATATAAAAACATAAAGTATAAGGAAAGTCCATTGGAAAATATTATTGGTGTTTATACAAAAATGAAATGCTTTAAATACTTTGTCAAGTACTATTTGCCTATAGACAGAAGAATTTAAATTGTCCAGTGTATTATATGGAATAGAATATCTGATTTCTAGGAAGTTAGTGATTGCATAAAACTACTAATTTTTTTTTTTTTTTGAGTTGGGAGTCTCATTCTATCACCCTGGCTGGAGTGCAGTGGCACCATCATGGCTCACCACAGCCTCCACTTCCTGTGCTTTGGCGATCCTTCCGTCTCAGCCTCTTAAGTAGCTGTGACTACAGGCATACCACCACGCCTGGCTAACTTTTTTATTTCTTTGTAGAGATGAGGTCTCACTATGTTGCTCAGGCTGGCCTCAAACTCCTGGGCTCAATCAGTCCTCCTGCCTCGGCTTCCCTAAGTGCTGGAATTATAGGCGTGAACCACTGTACCCAGTCAAAAACTATGTTTTTAATCACCGCAGGGTATTTCCAGCTTGAAGAAATCATTCTACTGTGATAGTTTGGGTGATTATTCACTCAACACTCATACCCTCACCCCTGCCAACATGACAGAAGTCCTTCTCCTGATGCCAGGCCGAAAGGGATACGGTAGTCAATGGGAAACCAGCAGAGGATGGGCTTCACGCATGCTTTCGTGGCTGGCTATACTCTCCTGCACACTGGAATTCCCTGAGCAGCTGCTGCCCCTTCAGTCTGAGTCCCAGTGTGGAAACACACAGACCTGATCTAAGCTGATCTATGTGAAGGTGCCAGGCCCAGGTGGATGTGTCGCCTGACGCAGAGACACCCTGGCAACCCATCCAGATCAACCAAGCTTCTGCTGACCAGTAGATACCCATACAACAATGTATGACACACCTGCCTATTCTTATAGCATGGGACAACTGAATGGCACCTCTACGTCCTCTACAATGCATCCTCCAGACTCTGGCCAGTGTGACTCAGAATATATCACTCCTCAGCTTAATCCTCCTGGTCCATCATGGGTTTCCTCCAATTAATAACAAAACCTCAACTCCTCACCAACCCTACACTTTTGAAGTTCTCTGATAACCAGCTCATCTCTGACATCACACTGCATTACTCTCCCTCTCACCCATCTCTGAAACACTAGCTATCTTTTCATTCATTCATTCCACAAACATGTATTGAGCATCCACTATCTGTCAGACAGTTTCTAGAAGCTGGGGATACAACCATGAGTAAGATGAAATTGCTGCTCGCTTGATTTCTCGTGGGGGGACAGAAAAAGCAAATGAGCAAATAATTATACCATATGGTGAGTGCCATGGCCAGCAGTAAAAGCTGCATCAAGAAGCATGTTTTATTTATTTTATTTTATTTTTGAGTCGAAGTCTAACTCTGTTGTCCAGGCTGGAATGCAATGGCATGATCACAGCTTACCGCAACCTCAAGGTCCTAGGCTCAGGTGATCCTTCTGCCTCAGCTTCCTGGGTAACGGGGACTACAGGCATGCATCACCATGCCCAGCTTATTATTTTATTTTTGTTGTTGTTGTTGTTGCAGTGAGGTCTTGCTATGTTGCCCATGCTGGTCTCAAACTCCAAGTCTCAAGTAATCCTCCTACCTTGGCCTCCCAAAGTGCTAGGATTACAGGCATGAGCCACTGCCCCTGGGCGACCTGTGGAACTTTTATTTGTCATTTGGGTGGATGAATAAGTGAAGGATTGATTCTCTACTGACTTCATGCCAGGCTCTGATGTGTGTGCTCACAGCCGTGACCTGCAGAGATTATTCTCATTTTATAAAAGAAGGTTCAAGAGGGGACTGTCTGATGCCAAGCCTCATCTCCTCCCACTGCTCATAATGTGGCTTCCATTTGTAAGTCTTTCCCACTAGCTTTCCACACAACTAGTCACCAGAGGTCATCACAGGAACTGAGCCCTGAGCTTGAATAGTTCTTGTTGGGACTCAGTGCCTGAGCAACGTAGGAGAAACATCCGGAAGCTGGAACAAGTGGGTCTGATGCACCCACACTCCTTCCTTGCAGATCCTTGGGCAAACAAGGGTGGGTGTGTTAGAAACAGGCTGATTTGCCAAGTTCGGTGGCTCAGCCTGTAATCCTGTGCCTTTGGGAGGCTGAGGTGAGTGGATTGCCTGAGCTGGTGGGTTCGAGACCCGCCTGGGCAGCGAGACCTCATCTCTACAATAAATCAAAAAATCATTCGGGCGTGGTAGCACATGCCTGTAATTCCGGCTACTTGGAAGGCTGAGGCGGAAGGATCGCCGGAGCCCAGTAGGTCGAGGCTGCGGTGGCTGGGAGCGGCCACTGCACTCCAGTCTGGGTGACAGAGTGAGACTCCAACTCAAAAAAAAAAAAGAAAAGAAGAAAAAGAAACAGGCTGATTTGCCGGGCTAGAAATTCTCTAGAAAAAGGAAACACGATCTGACTATCTAGGAACTCCTTCTGGATCCAGCTGCCTTGAAAAATGAATCTGTAGACTCTGAACAATTACCATAATACTATAAGAAAGGGATTGGCAATAGTGGGAAACTGTTCAGGGGGTGGTGGTGGGGGAACGACACACTTCATCAATAAGGGTACCAGATCTCAAATCAGGTGAAGTGGGGACCAATGTGAGGCCCAAACTTTACCTATACAATGACCATTTGTATACTTAACCCTGAAGTGTGTTCCGCATCTTAAAAAAAAAAAAACACAGATCACCTTCTGGAGAGTCTGTGACTTGTTGAGGCATCTCTCTCTTTTTTGTGCCCCCACCCCACCGGCATAGCTTAGGGGCTGCTGCCTTTCCACCCTCCTGGTGGAGGAAGCAGCTGGTGGAGCCGAGAGAAAACTGGGAAAGTTGCCAGCAACTTTGCAAAGGCATATATGATACATATGTGTGCATAGGACACATGTGCATATGGGATATATGTGTGTATATACGATAATATAGGCCTCTTTAGGCCATCACCAGGTAAATTAAAATTCTGCCTTCCTCTCGACGCTGCGAAACCTTCATCCGACCCACCTGTGTCCCCCCCAACACTCCCGGTCCCACCTCTTCCCAGATTTTTGATCTGGGCCCCAGGGGGCGCCTTCTGCTCCGCTGCTGTGGGCACCGAGGCGAGTTGTGGAGCAGGGGCCGGTCGCGCCCAGAGACTTGGCAGGGAT